AGGTGAACGGGAAGCCTGAAGACCGTGTGACTTTTGTCGTGCAGTTTGTACGAAGACAATCGCCAGACGGCTTCTGGCGGGCTGACGTACCTCGAGTTGACGTACCTAAAAAGGAATATTGAAAAGATTAGTAACAATATATTGGCTGGCTCAATATAAGATGATACCGTTTGGTGTTGTATTATTATGATCATTTATTTATTTTTTATTCTGTAGACGCATAGCATTGCATTGCAATATAATAATATATTACAATGTTTAATAATTTTAATTTATTTTGAAGTGAAGCGATTTGAAACGTTTAACCATACTAAGAATTAATTTTTGAATATTGCTTGAACACTTACAGTTCTTTACTTTAACATTGAAAAATATAATGGACATTATGAAGAATCCCTACAACCGTTAAATTGTAAATTTTGTAAAGTTTGGCATACAATAAATATGATGATATGTTTTGATAAATAAATGTTGTAGTAGCGCACGCGTAAGACACAAACGTCTTGAGTAGCTAAATATTAATATTAATTAATATAAGTTACAATTGAAATGATGCACAGATTTGGAATTATTAGCATATAATTGATGTATTTAATTCAATTTATATTTTGCACTGTGAAAATAACGCATCAAATGTAAAGTGAAACTAAAAAACTTGTATCAGCTAGAATACATTATCTGTGTGACTGCGTATAAATCACCAAATAATATTATATAAGAATGGCAAAGGTATAGGAAATATTAATTTATGTCAATGAAAATAACAATCCATAAACAAACGTGTGTTATTCCGCTTGAATGAATTAGATGAAAAAATAATAATGATAATAATAATAATACCTAAACAACACATTAAACGTAAAGTATATAATATAGCTAGTATACAAAAGTAAAAAAAATAAAAGGCTTACCACTACCCTAAAAACCTAAAAAACACTGGACACACTGCTAAGAATGACACATGCATAAAATATTGTAATAATTTTCAATTTAATAAATATAATAAAAATCTATCAATAGCATGTAGGTACCACTGTGTACTAATGTAGACCACCTATAGAACTCTCTGTAGAAGTACATAATATAATAATACCTAAACAACACATAAATATAATATATATTGAAGTATAGAACTTAAAGGTAATGGTGAATGTATACAACTGCCCTATGAAGTAGTAAATAATTCATACACACCGAACACACTAAATAAATGTATAAAATCCACCATAACAATCGTTATACCATACACATGTATAAATTATATATTTTTATTTATAGTAATGTATGCAATAGAATGTTTATTGTGTTTATTATACACAGCTTGAACGAAATAACGCATTAAATGTAATAAAAATAATGACCAACACATAAAATAATTCCGTGGCTTGGTGCAAGATGGGTCAATGTCGTTAAAATTTGCTTATGTTACTTGTGTTACAAAAAAACAAAGGGCCAATGTCTCTAACGCTGTAGGACCAAATTAGATAAAGTTTATAAATGTAGAAATTACTAACATTATGCTCAATGGAATATTATTATTAAAATGTAGAAATGTTTTCACAAGTGTTTATTTTAAATTTAAGTTTTTGGCCAATGTCAAAAACAATGTAATTTTATTATTTATATTTGAAAACAAAATGAGAGTCATACAATGAAATAAAAACAAATATAATGTTTAGAGTTCCGAAATAAAATTTAAGATTGAATTCCTGAACATTTTCAAAACATGACATAGGCCCTTCTTGCACCAAGCCACATGATATAATATAATATATACTATGAGGTATTGGTGAATGTATACAACTGCCCTAAAAAGTAGTAAATAATTCATACACGCTGAACACACAAAATAAACGTATACAATCCACCATGATTATCAGTTATCACTATACCACACACACATGTATACTATTATATTATCTTATGTTTATATCGCTAAGTGTAGTGTAAGGTTAAGACTCACCTTGTAGTTTCATCTGCGTTCTGCTCAATCTCCAACGTCACACGGTCGTGTCCCTTGTATATATACTTGTAGATATACATGACACTTTTTATGGACGTGCATATCTCGACGTTGATGTGAGCGTCGTACTTGGCCAGAAGGTAAGGGTTGTAAGGCACTACACACCCGTTACCGACCGCATCACGTCTTCCCACAAGTACCGTCCGGCCGTCGTCCGGTCGGCGGTACCTCGGATAACCGCCTTCCGCAACGTACACAGTCTCCTCTGCGTACGCCTTCGGGAAATCTTTCGAACATTTGCCGTTCACCATGCACGGACACCTCGGGTTGACTGTTCCACACGGTCCGTGTATCATGTGGGACCGCACGCAGTCGTGTAAGCGCCTGTCTGTCTCCGGGTCCGGCAAGAAGGCGCAAACCACGTCGTCGACGTCTGCCGCCGTGCGGAACTTATGATCCTCCTCCAGGATTACCAGTATGTGCGCATGGGGCAGACCGCGTTTCTGAAACTCAATAGTATATACGTAAGCGGCGACATTACCAAACACACGATTAACAGTTAGGTCACCTAGTAGCTCCTTTAGTTTCATGTTGAACACCCTGGCCGTCAGTTCGGGCCTGTCATTCGGGAAGCTGTGAGCCGCCAGGTTTTCCGTGATCTCCGGCCACCTTGGATTGCACGTAAACGTTATGAACAGGTCGGGCTTCCCTTTGCTGCGGACCATGGCCATGGCGTCTTGATAACACATCTTGTTGTATCGGTCGCTGCCCACGAACGTCGACGGTAAAATGACCCTACGGCCGACCGCCATAGGATCGATGATGAGACGTTCGTTCACATGGTCCACCAACCCTTGATACGCTTCGGCAAAGATTTCTGCCTGATGCTCACGTATGTAGTTCAGATTGTTGGTTTCCATCTGAACGTAGTGGTCGCACAGGAACTGGTGAAACAAGGACCGGCCCTGATGTATCGAACTGAACCGTTGGTGCCTCGTGTCGTTATTTTAATACCTTTAAAGGTATGTATGGAATACACATTGCGCGCAGACGCGTGGTACTGCGACCGTCGTGCACCGGGCAGGAGGTGGTATAGGTTGAGAACCAATGGCTAACAGGCAGGGAAGCCGCAACGGGTCGCGGTACAAATCGGCCACTTTTCATGTCACAGCTGCCGTCCGACCCGTATATTTACTCGCCGCCAGAATCAATTTATGAACGTCGTACACACGCACACGCACGCACGCCGCCGTATCATAATAACTAATTATTATCTACACACGTATTAATACTCGTCGATCGTCGCGCATACCTACCACCGCCGATCGACCGTCCGATTGAATACTTATCATTACGACCCGCACACACGCCGCAGTCGTACGATACTACAATTGAAAAGTACCTACTTGTCCAGTAAACACAGTGCGCCGAATATCGGAATCAATATCGACGACCGCTGTATCAACCACCGCCCAGCTGTACACAAGAAGATAGAGCCCAGGAGCATCGTGAGTCAAAAATTTATATTCTCCAAATATCTTTCCCTGTTATACGTTTTTTAATTAATGTCAAATCACCACTGAGTGATGTAAATATTTTAAAAAGAAAATACTGTGATCTAATACTTATTCAACCACATGTATTTCAATAAAAACATAATAATTATTGTATGAACACCATAAATCTGCGTTATACTCATTCATAATTATTACATAGTATTACATAAAATTATATATGAGGCAAGTGAATAACAAAGATAAAAATAAGTTTTAATTTGATTTTTGTTTCATTAAAATATCTTGATTCATTAAGAATTGACAGACCATTATTTAAATTTAATTATTTACCTATATTTTATATACGATTTTACTCTTGCCCCGATGTGTATTTTTACTGGGGAAAGTGTATAATCGAAAAAAACAATGCAACTATCATCTTATAAATGTATTGTTTCACTATCAATAGATTAAATACTAATCATGATAATATCTGGTTTTACACATACCTACCCCGTCTTATACACTTATCCCACTTTACCTTATAACAAATGTTCATTCACCAATTTTAATAGTGTGCTGTTAGTTTTGATATTAGAGCGAATTTACTTATTATCAAACTTTTAGGTTACAACATTATTATGTGTGTTCTCTCGTTTGTTTTTTACGATATTTTAATTTTTAAGTAAGTTATGAGTATGTAAAGTATTAATATTTAAAAAAATTTCTAACTTAAAGTTTGATCATAATTCATAGCATAGACCAATGCACTCTAATTCATACTAACAGCTTACTATTAAAACTAATGAACGAAAATTGTCTATGTCGTACACTCGTACATGTGTAAGATGGTTACAACGAATTCGAGCGTTCTATTAACATAGTACAGTTATTTCTCCATAATTTCGAATATTATCATCATAGTCTTGACTTTTAAACAAGAACATATTTTTAATTTTTGAAGTATAAAACTTCAAAACAAATTCAAACTTTTAAATTTATTGATACAAATTATTTATAATTAAAAAACATAGGTTATTATGGCTGGTCGAGAACGAGATATGTTTAGAAAGTATGAATCGGGTATTGCTAAAAGACAGAAAAAATGAAAGAATGAAGAGTTAATTAATAAACAACGCGGCTCCATTAATAGATTTATTTCATTGAAAAGAGATAATTCAGATGAAGATAAGTCGGTTAAAAGTGATAATAATGATGAAGAAAATAACTTAAAAAGTGACAAGCAAGGCGAGTCGTCCAAAGATGAAAAAGATAATTTCGATGAAGATAAGTCGCTTAAAAGTTATAATAATAATGAAAAAAATAACTTAAAAAGTGACAAAGAAGGTCAGTTGACTATTTAGTTTGTAATTAAAAAATGTTATTTTTAATATTATTTTTCCTTACTTACCCCCTTTATAATATATAAGGCTACTTACATACATACATAATATTATTATTACATTATTATTAGACCCTTAATTTTGCTCTTCATTCCTAAACATTTGTAAATTATTTTAATTATTACACCTTGTGTAAAGATGTTCTATAATAATATAGAAAAATCAGATATGTTGACATGTTACATGGAATCAGGAAAAAACGCTAGAGCTGCAGCAAGGTAAACACTGCTACATTTTTCATCAAACGACAAGGCTCTTGACAGACAGATGATTGGTTATACAACACTCGCAATGAAGATCGCCAACATCCTCATTTTACCTATTTTGCAAAACTTTTGAAAAAACTTGAAACATATGGTTCACTTGTTAGTAAATCTCGTGCACGAGCTAGGACAGTCACAAACAAAAATAATTCCTTTGCGATATTAGCTTCGTTTTATGAGAATCCTTATACTTCATTAAGATCAATATCTGGTAATATATTTGCTTTTAAGGGTTGCTTCTTCACATTATTTTTAATTTTATAATTTTTTACTTTATAAAATTACCATTGTAATTAGCAGCCCTGTTTACTTGAAAAATAGAATATGTATATAACATTACAAAATATAATCAACACATTTGATATAGGTACATAATTATACTATGGTTTTATTTAACAATACATCAAAGAATCAAAGTATCATTATACATAAAGGTTCTACTTTTACTTATAACCCAACTTAAAAATGTGTTTCTAAAAATACTGTACATTACAAACAATTATTATTAATTCAAAAATATATCTAAAAACCTTAAATTTTAACAAAATAAAGATATTTTCTAGAAATTAAAAGTTAAAAATGTACTATTAATGTTTTAGAATATCTGGATATACCATATACATCAATGCAAAGCGTTATAAGTATCATCCTTACAAAAGTGTGAAGGTTCAGCAGTTGCTGTCCCATGATTTTGAGAGACGATTACATTTTGTTGCTCAAATGATTATTAAATTGGATGATGATCCAACTATACTTACAAATATTTTATGGACCGACGAAGCCAGATTTCACAATAATGGCCAAGTTAATCACCATAACCATCATTATTGGAGTGACATTAATCCTAACTGGGCTTTGGAAAGTAATGTCCAAACTCGTTGGTCAATTAATGTTTGGTGTGGCATTATTGACGAATATTTAGTTGGACCTTATTTCTATGAGGGAAATCTCAATGGTAAAAAGTATTTACATTTTTTGAAAAATGAACTACCACTTTTATTAGAAAACTTGCCTCTTTCTAAAAGAAAATATATATTTTGGCAACAAGATGGAGCTCCGGCCCATAACTACTGGCAGGTTCAGAGCTATTTAAACAACATTTACGGACAGGGATGGGCAAGATACTCAAAAATCAGTATCGAGATAGTAGATACTAGATACCTGGATTTGGAGTATCGAGATACTAGATACTCGATACTTGGCTCTAGAGTATCGCGATACTAGATACTCGATACTTGGCTTTGGACTATCGCGATACAAGATACTCGATACTCAATACATTTTAATAAAATTAGTCACTGGATTTTTAAAAATTATGTTTATTATTGTGGGTATGGCCACTTCATTAAGTAATTAGAATGAAAAATAAAATAAAAAACATTGACACTTTCAGTAATAATAATACATTAGTAATAAAACAAAATAAAATAAATCAATTACGACATTACGTAATCTTGTTATCGTCTACGATTCTACCAAAAATAACCACAATACGATTTCATAACAATTAAATAATAATAATTCTACATTAAAAATTATATTTACTTGGTATTGTCGTTTTGAATTATATAAATAATAAAAATAATTTTAGTATAATAAAAATTTAATTTCAATAGTATACAAAAATTTCAATAGTATAATAGTAACATAACATCATTCATTTATATAGTTAATTTATCTTTGTTTCCTTTTAAAAATACAAGTTTTTCGAAGGTTATATCAGATAATTTATTTCTGGTAGGATTATTAATAAATCCTGCCATGGAAAACATTCGTTCTACGGGTGCTGAGGAGCATAAGCTGGTATTAAATCTAATAAAAAGTTTTTTTATAATTGGATAATTGTTTAGAATATTTAACGATTTAGCCTTATCATTAAAAAAAGTAACTACTTCCAGATCGGCTTTTTTAATGGTTTTAGCTTCTGGTTGCGATGAATAAACAATAAAATTGTCGTCATCTTCATCGCTAGAATTTGAATTATTAGTAATATCATTATTAAAAATATTTTCTGCAGCATTTATACATAGGTTTTGAATTCTATTTTTTTCGTGGTCATATTCATTAGAGATCCATCTTAATTTATAACATGGATGAAAACAAGTTGCTAAAATAGCTTCATTTATACTGGGAGATAATTCAAAAAAATCGCTAAATCGTTTTATTAAAGAATTAACCAATGGTGTTATCATATTAGCTAAATGGCGAAAATTTTTTTCTTTTAACATTTCTAGTCTAGTTTTAAGTGAATATAATGTGGGTAAAAGCTGACCTTAATAACATTGATTCTCACTCTGCAAAAAGTCTAAGGCACCAGCAATAGGCTTTAATAAAGCAGCTAATTCCTCTAAATACTCAAAATCTATATCTTTGAAACTATACTTAACATTTAATTCTTTTAACACTAAATTTAATTTATCTTTGTATTTCAAAAGCTGTGTAATACCGTCATAAAGAGAGTTCCACCGAGTAGGACATGGATATTTCAGTGAACAATTTAATATAGTATGGATGATTTCTGAAGATTTTGGTCTTCGTGACAAATTCCAGAGTGTTGTACATTTACCCATAACAGAATGGTTGATTCTAGATGCTGAAGTCCCTTTTAGAATTTTGTTAAAATCTGTAGTCGCAATAAGACTCAATGTGTGACTTGCACAGCGTAAATGATGAGGCAAAAAAATTTCAGTTTCTTGTGTCATGGTGTCATCTACATCGATACTTTCAAATGTAGCCACATCGTCATCAGTACTTTCTTCTTCGTCTGCATTTTCTCTATCATCTACAAATTCAAAAAAAATTAATTAAAACAAAAACCATTGGTACACCATGTATATATTTATATATTTTTTCATACCATTGAATTCTAAATCATCAATTTGAAAATTCCAATCCATTACACAACCAAAATCTTTAAATGCTTTTACAAAATTTGAACCGTTGTCGGTAACAGTTGAAATCAGCTGTTCTCTTTCAATTGAAAATTCGCATATTATTTCATGTAGCAATTCAGCAATTTTGTCATATGTGTGAGAGCCACGAAATCGCCTGCAGGCTAATACACAACTTAAACGAGTTAAAGTATTTTCATCAATCTAAAATATATTAAAATATTATAGTAAATGTATTAGTTTATATACTAAAATAAAAATAAAAAGTACCCAATGCGCTGTGACTCCCATAAATGATTTGTGTTTTGTTGACCAAATATCAGCTGTTGTACATACACTAGGTCTTGGATCAGATTCAAAAACATTTTTTAATTTTTCACAAATAAATGTGTAATTTTCTAGAATGCGACGGCTTAATGTTCTTCTCGAAAATATTTTTAAAGTACCATCAATATCTATTAAATTATTAGAAAGAAACAAAAAGTTATGAGTTATAGGATTAATAAAAAATCCCCCGACGAACAACGCCGGAAAAAAAATCCCCGACCCTAGGAAAAAAAATCCCCAGACTACAATATTTCTCACAACCTCTTGCAAATGGTTGAACAAATATTTTTTAAACGTTAATTAGTATATCTTTAATTAATATTTAATTACAAATACGTATATTATATTCTATTATAATATAATATATTACCTACATAAAATATATAGGTACCTATATTTTGTATAATATTTATATTTTTGTACTGTATCATTAATTGACGTATCGATCATTATAAATATTTTTATAATTTTTTTAACAATATAATATAATATATTATATTATAATAGAGTATTTGTCATTAAATATTAATTATAGATACTAATTAACGTTCAAAATATATTTGTTCAACCATTTGCATGTGATTGTCAGTAATATTGTAGCTGGGGATTTTTTTTCCGGGGGATTTTTTTTCCGATTACCCTTAATATACTAACCTTTAATCATCTTTATAAAATGTTCGTCTTCAACCGTTGATAATGGCTTCATGCTACAAACGACATAATTTAAAATATTTGTATCAAACGTTTTTTGTTTGGACTCGTTTTTTTGATGATCGCTAAAATACAAATTTAATTTCTGTTGTTTATGCATGTTTGGGTTTGAATCATTTAATTTTCTTTTTGTACCACGACGTTCGTTAACAGTAGATTTAATATAATTCTCAAATTCTTCTAGAACAATATTGAAACAAATTAATACAATTAGAATTAATATAGATATATTCAAAGTTACTCATACAGACATCAATAACAAATCCATTTTCTAGAATTAGCAGTTAAATACTAACAAAACATATGAAAAGGTTAAATAATGTAAACTAACGTTACAAAGTGACATAATATTATTATCTCAAGTCTTTGACATAAACATAATAGTGATTGAAGGTGTTACAACTACTATTAAATAGATACAAAGTAACAACAAATGTAAATAGTTACTTAATATAATATTTCGATTGTTATAAAAAGTTATTCATACTAACACGAATAGTAAAGTAATAGTAGAGAGCTTATAATAACAATAATTGGTAGTTGAATACCAACTATAATAATAATATTATATGAACAGATATTTAGATTATTATAAAAAGTTAGACATAATAGTGAAAACATATTATTATATTGTATTAATAATAACAATTGGCGGTTATAAAGTATAAAACAAAATGTGAAATGTTCCACAATAGCACAGTGTAACAAATGTAAATACAATCACAGTATAGGATTGTGAATACAATGTCAACTATAATGATATCTATATTTTATATTAACAGATAAAAAGTTATTCGTTCAGAAATAAATTGTGGTTAAAAGTTATAGGCATAGACATAAAAGTTAAAGCATATTACAATTAATTATAATAACAATTGGTGGTTATTGGTGTGGTATTGGTGTGGTATTAAGTATATTACAAAACGTTGCTCACCTTGGCGTATACTTGTAGACGCACGGTTGCAAAAATTGTACCACGCGGCACAAAACTGTTGTCTTGTCGGTCAGACGAAAATCGAACGCGTATGTGTTACTCACTCGGTATACACACGCACAAAAATTGCGTTCTGGGTTTACACTGCACCCAAAACACAAAAGGTATATTTTACTTTAACGGAAAAAATCACTAAACTCGCTCCGGGTTTTACTATCCGAGACGTGCACAATTGTTGTACTTCACTTGTACCAAAAAAAAAATGGTGTGTCAAGGGAATCTCTCCCAGACTACACGTAAAAACTGTTGTACTTATCGTACGTAAACACTTTCAAAAAAATTAAAACTTGCCAAGGTTGAGGTACCAGGGCACAAAAAATCAAAAAAATGTCTCCGACCGTGGATAAGTAACCCCGTTGGGCGCCACTCTGTGGTATCACCCGTATTGGATAATACGCGGTAAACCAACTTTATACCTTACCCTCGTACGCTCTAGGCTAATGACTGTCTCTAGAATAAATTCAGATTAGCACTGTTAACCTTTGAGGTACGATGGTAGCGTTTTGTCAGTTCTTCGTTCGTTTCCTAAATTGGAATGACTATTAGGACGCCACAACCAGAGCACTGTTCAGTTTGTAATAAACCTCATTGACTATAGGTGTGTGGGTCTGAGCACTGTTCCAATATTAAAGGTAAGAATGAAGAAGACTTTGAAATAAAACTCAACTCGGGTTTTTAGGTCGGAAACACTTTTATTATATTAAAACAAACATAAATGAAACACTTAGCAAATTCAAATCGTCTAGCCCGTACTACGATCGACGTTTCACACGTACGACCACAGTACCTACGTCCTCGCCGATTCACTCAGCGACAACGGGACTCTCCCCTCGTGCCTGCGCGTGCGGCGGTGTTATATAGTAATCTTATCGCTGTCTCAGCACATATGCTTCACTGACCTATGTCAATAGTTTACAATTTAAAATGTTCCCACCTCTATTACATATATGAAATAATATTTTGACGACTGTCTACAATATACGACACAAAGTACCTACCAAACGAAATGTAAGAAGTTACATAATATATGTATTTTCAATCGATACAATCATAGCATAAAATGTAAAAATTCTACTAATGGATCTTGAGATTATTAAAAAAATTTATCCATTCAGATGTAAATGGCAAATTGTGTTTAAAAGGTAATATTATATAATCAAAAGTAAAAACAAATTAAAAAAGGTACATAATATATTGAAACAAATTAATACAATTAGAATTAATATAGATATATTCATAGTTACTCATACAGACATCAATAACAAATCCATTTTCTAGAATTAGCAGTTAAATACTGTAATGGGATTACGCAATATCATGTATTTGCTCATAATAACAACCAGAATTGGGATTACGCAATATCAAATATTTGCTCAAAATAACAACCAGGAATGCGACCACACCCAAAAGTGTTTTCGACTAAAGAATACCACTTTCATAGTCGTGACTCGTGAGGTCCATATCAAGGACGACTGTACACGCGCCGCTCACTTCAAAGGACGCCGCCACCATATATATAGGGGACAGCGAGACAGCCTGAGTTAGATGTACCAGAGCCGCCAAGACCGAGCGAGCCGTTTAGCCACCAGCCATTACACACGACTTACATGGAGATTATCGACTACTACAACGAGTCAACTCACGACGCTGCAATTCACCACAACTACATTATTTATTATTGGTTTTAATAAAGTACATTTGATTTATATTTAAATTGACTACATTTTATTGTAAAAGTGCAACAAGCTTTTGGATCCCTGAAGGGCCGCATGTAACACTGGCGCAGTCGGTAGGATTCTACAAAGGGAGGCAACCATCAAAGGCTACCGTCAACAAAGAAGAACTGTACACTCTTCCGAGAAGACAACTCCAAGAAGAACCATCAAAAACAAATAAGTCACGTCGCGGTACCAACAAATCCATCAGCATGTCATCAGCAACCAGGAACACAGCATTATTGTGAGTGAATAATTATTTAGATTTGTTACATAGACGTATGCAACATAATTAGGACATATTAGATAATTCTAAGTAGTTGACTATAAGTATAATGGTGTAAAACGTTTTAAAATTTTATTGAGGGCATATTTTATTGATTATTATTGAAGTTTTATTGAATTTATTGAGGGCATATTTATTGATTATTGAAGTTTATTATTGAGGGCATGTTTTATTGAAGTTATTATTGATTATTATTGAAGTTTATTGATTTATTGAGGGCATTTTAATTATTGAAGTATTATTGAAGTTTATTGAATTTATTAAAGGGCATATTATTGAAGTTATTATTGTATTTATAGGGCAT